TGCAAATCAAACAAGTAAAATTTATTCACAATGCATTCAGTAAGATATCATTTCGACAATGGTCAACACTATTTGAACCTAAAGGAGAACTGTACTCAGTTCATGAGTACAGTGAAAAGTATCCTATAATATCAGTAATTCATTCAATCAATTTATATTTCGTACTATTTAAAGGAACTTGTTCATGAAAACTCCTGCCTGCATGGAATACCTAAATAGCAATTGAAGTTTGGGAAAGTAAAAATCACTGAAAAATCTTACTAAGGTGACAATCGCTATTTATCAATGGGGTTGGATATAGAGGGGGGGGGGGGAATCAGCTGTCGCCAACAGAGTTTCAAGCAGCTCACAAAAGGAGGCACACCAACAACTGACAGTCTTAAATGCAACCATTGCAGTAGACTGTGCTGCTCACATGCTGAACTTGCAGTGTATCAATGCCTCTAAAGCACTTAACTGTTTCTCAGTCAACATCACCTGCAATGGACTGCCGATGATGATTAAAGTGGACTATAGTAAATTGACTGCTAATGAGAAGAGGGATAAAAAAATATTGTTCTCATCTTGATCACTCTCATTTTCTTGCCCCTCAGCCAGTTTGTTTGTTTTCACTGTCAGTTCTTATCACCTGCTCGTGTTATTTTCTTTTCATCTGGTTGGTCTATGAGATTTTTTAGGTTTTGGTTTTACATCCCCCCCCCCCACCTTCCCCAGATGGGATGTCAGTCCATTGCAGGTTACCCCCCAGCATTTCGTCAGGTTTCCTTGACAGCAGTTTATCCTTATATAATCCTGGGTGGAGAGGGACCCTGTGAAAGTAAAGTGTCTCACCCAAGAACACAACACAGTGTCTTGTACGGGTATTGAACCCAAGGCTCTTAGGACCTTTACCCCTCACTCCCTAACATTAGTATACATATTCTCCCTACTGCTCTCTAAACATTTCCTTAGGTGCTGACAAGGAGAATTTGATTAACAATCAAGAAGGTTTTTTTTAGTTTGTGATCATTTCCTATTTTCTCATGACCTTAATGTTTGTTTCAGGGGTGATATTGAAAGGAGAAATTAGATGCTAGTCACTCTTAAGAGAACAGGTTAAGCTGCCATCTCAGATTTAATCTTCTTATTTAATCTTATAATTTCTTATTTGATGAGTTCACAGCTTGTCCAGACTTACCTTGGGAGCAGCCTCTTTGGGTGCAGTCCTTGGAGGGGGTCATGAGTATGGGGTGTGGGTACAGATGGGGATGCTGCTCTTTTTCTGTGGGAGTGTAGCACTGAAAGCATCACAAAAAGATATTTAACACACTACCAGTCACATGTAGGAGGCTTAACCCTTTCACTCCCACAAGTGACCAAGACAGAATTTCTCCTTACAATATCAATACAATATCAAGCAGGGAAGTGACGAGAATAGAGAAGAATGTCAATCATGGGATTATTAGTTGATCCAATACCAAATTCTCTGAACTAACATCATAAGAATTGTATGGCGTATAGTAAGGAGAATTACTAATTAGATCTTGGGAGTCAAAGGGTTAAGCAGCTAAAAAATTAAAAACAAACAAAAAAGAACAATCTTGAAGACAAAAATATCTGACATGTTTCAGAGAATTGACAAAAAAAATATTAAATGCAATTTTCTATAAACAAAAGTGAAATGACATGAAAAAGCAATACTGGTAAATTTGATTTTGCTTTTTTAATCTTTTGTACACAGCAGTTCACAAAGAATCTTACACATGCAAACATCACTTGTCAGAAAATATCACACAGGTGAATAGTGCTTTTCATGTGTACTGATTCCTTTGTTCAGAAGAGATCAGCAAGTAATATTCACTGCCAAGCAGGTGAAGAGACAAAATTAATTTCAACCATTTTTCGTTATATTGACAGAAATGAACTAATTTTTTTTGGTTTCTGTATGGTATATATCAAAACAATTATTCACCAAAGTGTTGGTGAATATTGGTGGATATTAACTGAGCCACAAAATGGCAAGGTAAATATGACTACCATTGTTCACCTCCACTGAGGTGAAATACAATTGTTAATTATTTGTTTTAATTATGTTAGAAAGACAAGAAAAATGTTATAGGAATGATATGTTCAGTTCATCAGAATTTGTTTATTAAAAGATCAAATACAAAACTTAACTGCAACAACAAAAGTGGAAGGTTTTTTTTCAAATCACTGCTCACCTGAATTTTCAGCTGCCTTTCTTCAAGTTCCTCTGGAGAAAGAACTTCTTCTGCTACTTTGTTTATTGTATTGTCTAGCACCTGGAAGGTCAAACAGAAAGCTTAGCACTTACTCATTATCATTACAATTATTTCCTTGTCTCTGATATGCAAAATACAGGACATGTCAAAGAAATGAAAAAAAAAATTGTTTACATGTGAATAAGAATTGAGTCATTGAGTAAGTTTATAGAGCAGTTCACTGATAAGAGCACAAAAATATGCATGTTAAACTTGTAGAGAATGCATCTAGACCTGACACAGGCTGGTCTTGACAGACAAGCAAATACATCTCAAGTACAGTGTTTAAAATCCACCCCTATTCTAGGATGTCACAATCTGTCAAAACATGACCCTTAAATAATGTGAGAAAGTCTTATAGAATACAATTCACCTTAACTTTCACTAACTGCGCAAGCAAAATTGAAGAGGTGGAGAGAAAAAAAAAGCCTTAAATGACTTGTGATGAACTAAAAGATTTTCCTTCCACATTGTTTTGTATTACGTTACAAAAAAGAAAGAAGAAGTTGGTGTTCCATAAAAAATAACCTTAAGGCTCTTTTCTAATCACCCCTTCAACTGATAACTCTTAGAACCCTAAGAGTAACAAGCATCTAATTTCCTCTTACAACATCACCCTGAATCACACATTAAGGTCATGAAAATACAGGAAATAATCACAGACAAAGGAAGCCCTTGATTGTTCAACAATTTCTCCATGTCAACACTTCAGGAAATGTAGAGCAAACAGTATGGAGAATATGCATACTGATGTTAGGGTGTAA